ATAAGGATGAATTTGGGTTCATAGGTTTCATATGACATGGTATCTTCATTGATGTTTATATCTTTTGAATAAATAAAAAGTATGTTATCTCTTTTGAAATCATTAGTTGCATGAGATTGGCGGATATATTTGACTTATATGGTTATTATGAGTTCAACTGTTAGATAAGTGTCTATTGACTATTATTAACTCTGTGTATCCCACCTGACACCTCGCTAGCCCATACTAGTGTGTGTGATAGGTAGGGATTTAGTTACTGAGACATTGTCTCATTCCTATTATTTAACATTTTTCAGGTGAAAGCTTTAAAGAAGGGACGTCAGGGAAGGCTAAGGAAGAGTAAAGTTACATTAGCAACTTATAGCGTCTCCTCGATTTATGAGCTATGTTGTATCCTGCATATTGTTACCTTAGGATAAATTGGTTTTAATTGATTCATGTATTATTATTTCTTATGTCCTTTGAGTGTACTATTGTGGTATGTGTGCTGATAGGTAGCCAGAGGTCTAGGATCGCATATTCGCATATGATTTATTTATGAATTTATTATAAAGTATGAATTAACATTTAATTTTTAATATTTTGATTTATGAGCTATATTATATGTTGTTTTATAACCATATTAGATAAGATTGATCCTTTCTCATATGGTTTGTATTTGAATGAGTTAAGAAAAGTTCTTTTATCCGTGATAGGATGTATGATTGGGTGCTACTCTTTTCTATCACGGATAACAATATTATAAACTAGTTAGTGTAGATGATTGTGATATAATTTGAGTTTGTATTTAGCATGGTTTGGTTATAAAAAGTTATTTCTTAAAGTTACTATAAAAAAATTAGGTTTATCTGTTTATTTAGGAATGTTGTTTCAGTCGCCACCAAAAGGTACTTTCGGCGGCAACATTCTTGTCACCGCTAAAAAACTTTCAGCGGCAACATAAAGAATTTTTTGTGGCAACAAACAAGGGACATTCAGCGGTGACTTTTTTGTTGCCGCTAAAAGTGATATCTAAGAACATTTGGCTTTACCAATGCCACATCATCACCACTGGCAGCCATGTCATCACTAGCCACCTCCACCTCATCACCAACTAGGTGCCACGTCATCACTAGCCACCTCCATGTCATTGCCACATCACTCCTCCCCGCCACATTATCATCCAAATATTTTGATTTTAAATATGTCTTCTTCAAGGTTCGAATTCGTGACCATCTCATTTCATGTCCAATTTTCTTGCCACTGAGCCGGATTGAATTTGTTTATTACTATTGTAAAATAAAATATATATTATTATATTACACTTTCAGCGGCGACCATAAAATGTCACCGCTGAAAGTTAGTGTAGCCGTTGAAAGTCAAACCTTCAACGGCGACACTAATAGTCACCGCTAAAAGTGTACTTTCAGCGGCGACTATAGAATGTCGCTGCTAAAAGTGAACCCAATGATTCCACTCAAAGATATACTTTCTGCAGCGACAAAAAAAGTCAGAGCTAAAAGTTCACTTTTAGCGGCGATATTTTTGTCCCTGCTGAAAGTCTTAGTTTCAGCGGTGACTTTTTAGTGTCGCCACTAAAAGTCTACTTTCAGCAGTGACTTTTTTTGTTGCTGCCGAAAGTCGTCGCCTAAAATCTTTTTTTGTTTTGTAGTGTATATTGGCAATATATGTGTGTGCGTGCACCTGATATGATTCAATTTCCAAGTGACATCTAAACAATTACGTAATGATACAATTCAATTATCCAAACAGTAAGACAAATGGGCATATTAATTCCCCATCCCTTGGAGCTCAATTCATTATTTGCTGATTCACAGAGGTTCGCGATCCAATTGGAGAATTATAAATAAATAATGAAATGAATTATTTATGGGAATCGGTGCACAATTTTTGCCTATGAAAAGGATCAAAGTCTTTAACAATAATAATAAAAATTGAAAGTTATTATGAATAATATAGTTCGTTATTTGGTCCTTGTTTATTATAATCTCCATTCTTCAATTTTCATTTTATTTGCAAGATAAATAAATAAGACCAAATAATAAGCAGACCGTAGATGAAGCTTATCATTCCCCATGAATATTTCTAAAGAGCCAATGATGAAAAGGGATTTGTAAAAAGGAAAGACTACAACTCAATAAAAATATAGAATAAAGTGAAAAGGACAAAATAGCATAAATATCGAGCCAATTTTAACACAGCGCTGTCTTAAGGCTTAACATGGTGCTACAACAAACAAATAGGTGGGAACCACATTCCATAGCGTGTTGGACCAACCAAATGGAATTTGGACAATTCAAAGTAAATTTAATTTAGTCTTATAATTTTCGCTGTTCTAATTAAGAAAAGTAAATTTATCATTTAAAATATTAAAATTAGCAACTTCAAATCAAGATTGTCCAATTAGGTGAAAAAAAAGAGTCTAAAATTGTGCATATATCATAAGGATGAATATATAGGACTTAATCATGATCCAAGTAGGCCTCTAGTAACTGTATGTTTCGTTATATGTGTATAAATATTATTTTAAAGAAATTTATATGTGCTGAAGAAAATGAAAATAACTTAAATTTTAAGAAATTAGTTAATATTTTACCTATTTCTTCTATCAAAATTTAAAAACATATGGGCATATGGCGCATACAAATTCAAAATATGGATGAAATAATAAGTTCAAAGATATAATTAATTGAATATGTAATGAAAAGTAAAATAAGTTGTCATAATTATCTCATAAAAAGGCCAATAAAAAATTGATATCCCTATATTTTAACTTAATTTTCAAATAAGTCCTTATACTTCAAAAGATTTAAATTCATCCTTATAATGATATAATTCAAACCGTACTATAATGCATCGATGTAATTATAGTTTAAAATCATTAATAATCAGATATACAAAACGAAATACTTTGCCCCTATAATTATAAGATCAGTATAGCAATATACTGTAGAAGATAAGCGTTGAATCCGTTATATATTTATATATATATTTATTTGAACAAGATTTTCAATATATTTCAAAATTTCACATTGAGATATTAAAAATTTTACAAATGATCATATTCCAACTTTATAATATGAAATAACATTATACAAAGTTTGTTCTTTTAACACATATACTTACATGGATTTAACATTCATTGGTAATTTGAAACTAATTGATCTATTGGTCAGAAGTGTTATTCCCCGATAATTAAATAAAACCATAGAATGGTAATACTACCTCCAGTGTCCAATTCTTAATATAAAAAACTAGTTTTAGGTTAGGTTAAGGGTGTTTATGGAACAGGATAGGGACGAACGCCTTCCAATAATCAGGACAGGATAACTCTTTTGTCCTGTGTCCCTTTCCATCATGATAGGGCATAACCGGGATGGGATAGGAATGCCTCTTTTTTTGAATTTTTTTTGACTTTCTTAATTTAAAAACCAACTATATATGGAGTATTAGAACTCATAATAAAAACTATATAAAAACTATTAGGAAAAAATGGCAAAGAAGAAAACTTTTTATTTAATTCTTGATAAACAAAAAAAAAACTTAAAATGTTCATAAAAAAGAATATAATGCAACCCATGCAAAACTTGTAAACAAATAATTAAAATAACAATTGATAAATATTATTACATAACACTATTACAATGACAAATCAAGCAAATTTATAAAAATCAAATAGAAAGATAATATGTAGAGATAGGACACTCTTCACTCCTATCTCGTCTCAAAATAATTTTGTCACATCCCACTTTTATCCCATCCCTAAACGATTGGGACAAGAATGGGATGTCAAGACAGGACAAGTTAAACACACTTGGGTTAGATCTGATTTTAAATATAATATTTTAATGCACTTTATCCCCATGCATATGATTGTTTTCCTATATTATCTATATTCACTACATATGTTAAGGAAGTTTTCATCATAAGGTACGTAGTTTTAATGCAAACAATTTGAAAGTGTATTTTAAAGAAACCACAATGTACATTTTTTACAAATATCTAATTTAAATAATTTTTTCAGCTACTCAAATTAATTAAATAAATCTTATATTAAAAACTAGATGTAGTACTTTTTAATTTTAGGGATAATTAATTTGCAAGTTTTTATAATGTCAACCAATTTTTAATCACGTCCTTGAAAAGGTCTTTATTCTTTTACTTGTTTTTACTTTGGTACATATAGTCTTTTTTTTTTATCATGTCCTTATAAGTTCGCTTGATTTTTAATAAGGTCCCTGTATTTTTTAATTTTATTTATCAATTCAACTTAAACTTATTAAATAGGTAATATTGAAAAACATAATTTGCATAATTAATTATAAATTAATTTCAGTTATATTATTTTTTAGAAAATTTCATTATTATAATTAGAATTTTAGAGTTACAAAAATAAATGAAAATTATGATTATAAGATAGCTATAAATGCATGTTTAATTCAAAAATTTAAAAGAATGTTAAAACAAAATTTTTATAAAAGAATCTTATTAGACTTTTAAGGAATAAAGAATGAACAAACTTTAGCCACATAATTTAAAATTAAGCCAAACTATAACAACCTGATAAAAAGAACAAATCTACAAAGACCTAAACAAAAACAAGTATAAGGACTTTATAGAATGAAAAAAAAAATTATAAGGACATGATTAAAAATTGATTAAAAATATAAGGATGTATATACATATTAATTATCCCTTAATTTTATCTTCTTACAATTTTGTCGCATATATTGATGACCCTACATCTCTAGAATATTTAGATGCTATTTTCTCAAACGAAAAGTCTTTGAGAGACATGCATCCCTCGCATTACGTTTGACTGCAAGAAAACAAAAGACAGCCAGTGCTTATCTCTTTCCAAACCACAAGTCTTATCCAGTGGAACACGAAGGCATGGTTTTTGAAGAAATTGACTTGAGCCGCCATCGATGTTCTTTTTTGACCAAGAATTCGATTTCATTGAACCCCCACTATTCTGCCATTTTTCTGTCAATAAATTCGTAGGAGACTACGGTTCATCTGATCAAGTTTCATATCAAAGAAATCTTTCAATCTTATTTCATCCATTAATTAGGTTTGTGTTTCCTTTGATCATCTTTTTGATTTATTGAATGAAATGAATCTTTGTTATTTATGCCTATTTTCACTTGTGCGCAAACAGTATTTTCTATCGCGAAATTCTGTTTTGAAATATTCAAGGATGAGAAAGAATATATATACAAAAGGTTATGCTTCGATTTATTATATGCATGAAGAGTGAATCTTGCAGGAACAATGCCTTGGCTTAACTATCTGTTGATGTTTCGATTATTTTATTTTCTATAAGTTTTACTATTTTTTCTATTTTACGACGCTAATGGACGTATTTCTATTTTGAATGTTTCAGTTGCTTTCTTGCAATGGCACTTTATAATCATGGAGTTGAGTATTCTTCAAGCTTTTCTGGTTCAAACAGGAGGCACAAGTATGATGTGTTTTTAAGTTTTCGAGGAGAAGACACTCGTGAGTGTTTTACAGACCACTTATATGCTGCTTTGTGTCGCAATGAACTAATAACTTTTAGGGATGAGGAAGAGCTTGAAAGGGGAGAAGTTATTAACCTAAGTTTGCTTCAAGCAATTGAAGAATCTTTATGTGCAATTGTTGTACTCTCCGAAAACTATGCTTCTTCAAGATGGTGCTTAGATGAGCTCCTAAAGATCCTTCATTCTAAGAAAGAGTTGGGTCTTCATATATTTCCAATCTTTTATGGTATAGATCCATCCGATGTTCGGCATCAAAGAGGAAGATTTAAAAAGGCTTTTGAAGAGCTTGAACAAAAGTTTGCGCATGACAAAGTTTGCAAATGGAGGGATGCTTTAAAAGAAGTTGCAGACATATCTGGCTGGAACTCTAGATATTATAGGTAATTTTACTACTTCCAAAAAAAAAAAATAATAATAATAACCGTGACTTAAGCAACTTAAAGCTTATTTCTGGGCAGGAATAGAAATTATTTATCTGCAATACTACCAGCTATCATTATTATCATTTTATAGATAAAGAATAATTTTTACTGTAGATACACAACCTTTTGGCTGAACCTTACTATCATAAAGATATCATTTTGCATAAAGATGTATACTAGATCTTCAATTCTCTGTTTCCTTTAGAAAGGTGACGTTTATTTTTACGTGAAAGATATCACATCTCATCTTTGCACATTACATATATTAGAGCCTAAGAGACACTATCTGAACCATTTATACATGTCCATTTCAGACCCCTGGAGAATAATAAAAAACTTCTAATCAAAAAAATTGATTCTCAAGTTACTATTTATTTAGTCAATTTGAAATTTTGAGCAAGTTTTAAAAATTTATAATTAAATCACAAAAACTCCAAGTGAAATGATTCAAGTTTTATTTAAAGCGTTTTAAATGCTCCACATGGAAAAATTGGAAAATTGGAAAATATGTTGATTTTGTTTTCTTTCCACTAACCACTTGTTTTGATGTCATATTAACCTCCTCTAATCCTTATTTAATCATCATATCATCATGCTAAACATAATTTTTGGAAAATTGCGTAAGCTTTTCCCTAGAATTTCATACTGTCAAAAATTTAAAACAACAGATATGAGAAACACCAACAACAACCAATAGATCACAGCACTAGATGCCTTTTTCATCAAAGCTTGATTCCTTCAATTTCACACCCTTGTTTTTCAGAACCAGTTTCAGTGATCATTATCTTAATAAGCACTCTAAGCTTATCAGATCTAGACTGTTTATATCTGATTTGAATGGTCCAGATTTAAAATTTTTTAATTAATTATTTTTAAATAGAAAAACTATTTTAAAAAATGATAGTTAAGAGATTATCTCTATTTTAGATTTTCTACATATTATAAAAATTATTTTGAATAAATAAAAATAAAAAAGATATTAAATCTGGACCATCTAATGAGTATAGACGATCCAAATCTAATGAGCCTAGAGTGTTAATCAAAGTGATGAGCATTAAAACTGGTTTTCTTGCTCTCTCTCTCTCTACCACTTGCTAACAATTATTAAGAGAGAGGTTTAGGCATTAAAACAAGTGCCAAATGAGAAAACCAAGCTTAGATAGTACTAACTCTAGTCCTAATTATAAGAGCTAGTTGACTAATTTGAGGAGATTAAGGAAAAAAATTAAGTTAGTTATTTGTAATAAATAAGTGTTGTACTTCCTAAAATATCTTTACTAATTAAATGTATTAGTTAGAACTATCATTGTTAGAAGGACTACTTTAAAAAATATATATATATAAATATGAGAGACAAAGTGGATTAGAGTTTTAGGACTAAAATAAAAGTCAAATAGGATCTTATATTAGAAACCGGAGGTAGTAATTTAGATGTAGGAATCACTTAGGAAATAACTTGTTACAACTTTATCTCCTTCCTTCCTTCCTTCCTTCTTCTCTATCGATGTCGTCGTCATCATCGTCGTCCTCGTCCTCATCCTTATCCTCTCCTCTCTTTTCTACTGGCCGGCTATGACGACCGAAAGGGTGAAAAGAAGTAAATTAATTAGATTTGATATATAATTCCTTCAAATTCGCCTCCTTGTTTTCTCTCTTTTTTAAACGTTTGGGTCAAATGGTCAAAAGAAGTCCTCTTTTTTTTAGCTGACCATGGGTAAGACTACTTTTGACTTTCAGGAATGGTCTTGGATGAATTTTGTAAGTTTTGGATTTATGGTACGAATTTTGGATTATTTCTTAACATATATGGAATTAAATTTCATAATTAACTTCCAATTAATAAAGATCCATAAAACTCTTTTAAAAAATTCATCTTCCTCTTAAAAAACTGTATCTAATATTCTCAGGCCAAAATTTGACCCTTGATTATTTTTCCTTTAATTTTCGGGAAATTACACTTTTAAGTCTGAAAAATAATTTTAAACTTAGTAGTTCTACCTCTTGGAAAATAATTTTCTCCGCAAATTTTCTAAAGTCCCAAAATGGTTATTATTCATTTTTCTATAATTATTTGGGACATTTACATAATTTTTAAAGGGAAAACTAATTTGGAGGTCCTTATAGTTTTTTTTTTAAATTTTGAATGAGGTTCTTGAGCCTTTTTTTTTCCCCCTTTTTATTGAATTCTTTTAACCTCTTGGCTTTAGATCCGTCAGTCTTCCAGGTAAATAAAAATAAACACCGTTAGAATTTCCGTTAGAAAGAACTGCTAAACGTCTTCTCCACCTAAAACTTCTATCTCTCTCCAGTTTTCACGGTAACCTTCATTTGCTCTCATCTCTCTCCATTTGTTGCGATATTAATCCGACACACCTCGTAAAGAGCAGACGACAAATAAAAAAAAATAACGGTGGAGATTTTAATGATGTTTGTTTTTATTTAGCTGTAGGGCTAACAAATCCAACGGCAGAAAGTTAAAGAACTCAATAAAAATAAAAAAAAATTAAGGATCAGACTCAAAATTGAAAGGAACTATAAGGACTTCAAATTAGCCTGTATTACTTAATTAGCAAAAAAAAAAAAGGCTATTTTATTTCACTTTTTAATTTTTTGAGGCGTTCTCATCATAAATACCCTTTTAGGCATCAAAATTACCTTGAAAATCTCTTTACCATTTTTTCTTGATTTTATGAATTTCGGGATTTTTTTATATAATTACTGTGTTTGGTTCAAAACATTTCAAAATTATGCTTTTATCCTAACTTGACTTTTTCCTCATAACTCTCCTAGCTTTGAGTTCTGCTATTTTATTTAGCCCATAAATGCCCTTGTTTCTCATGTTTGGTCAGTATTTGAAATGTCAAATATGACACCTATTTATAGTTGACCAGCATTGATTATCACGTGCTATATATATATATATATATATATATATATATATATATATATATGAATATGAACAATATGATATCAAATTACTTTCATCTTCCACTATTTCATTAGAAAGGGTTTTGTATAATATTGATTATTTTTAAACTCTAACCTCCTTTTTCCGCTCCATCATCGACCTTTTCTATTAAAACATTTTTGAAGGAGCTTGTTTGCGTTCCCCTCTTCCCTCTTGACACTAAATGCATCTTTTGAGAACTCTGGTTTAATCCATTTCAGTGTGTATGCATGGAATCAATATCATGGTTTTAAAAATACTTTTACGGTATATAAAATAAATACGTGGAGAAGTTTATCTCTAATTGCAACAAAATACTTTTTAAGAGCACTTTTTAAAGAAGCCAAACACCCTAGTGCAAGTAAAAGTATTTTGTAATATTTTGCAAAACTTTAAAATTCAATTAACTTTGATGATAAATGTAATTATTCTGTTTTCCTTTGTAGGTACGAATCAAAACTCATTGAAAATGTTGCTGAAATTTTGAGGTCAAAATTAGATGATCAACGATCTTTCAACTCAAATGATGAAGGTGTGGTCAAAACTCACTTAAATGATGATCGATTAGTTGGTATTGATGCAAAGATAGCAGAGTTTGATTCATTTCTAGCCAATACATCGGAGGGAGTTCAGTTTATTGGAATATGGGGAATGGGAGGGTTAGGCAAAACAACTCTTGCTAGAGCTGTTTATAAGAGAATAAAAAAGAATTATGAAGTTCATTTCTTTCTTCATAATATCAGAGAGAAATCTGCACAAAATGGTGGGTTAATTGAATTGCAAAAGGAACTTCTTTCTCACCCGAAAAGAAGAACTAGAACGGAAGTCGGTAATTCTTACGATGGAAGAGAGTTAATAGGAAGGAAGTTGCGCAATACAAAAGTTCTACTTGTTCTTGATGATGTGAGTGACATAAACCAACTTGAGAATTTGGCTGGAAAGAAAGGATGGTTTGGCAAAGGGAGTAGAATAATAATAACAACCAGAGATAAGCATCTTTTAGTTCAGTATGGTGTTTCTCAATATAAGATGAATTTCTTAAGTCAAGATGAGTCCCGTCAACTTTTTCTTCAAAAAGCATTCAAAGGAGATCATCCAAATGGAGATTATTTGGAGCTTTCTAAAATTTTGATTAAATCTACCAAAGGACTTCCTTTGGCCCTCAAAGTATTCGGTTCATTTCTTTGTGGAAGAAGTAAATCAGAATGGGAGGATACCCTTAGTAAGGTTCCTCCAAATGACATTTTGGAGATACTTCAAGTAAGCTTTGATGGACTAGAATATAATGAGAAGACTATATTTTTAGATATTGCTTGCTTTTTCAATGGGGAGGCCAAGGATAATGTCATCCAAATTTTAGAAAATTGTGGTCTTCACCCAAGAATTGGAATACCGGTTCTTATTGAGAAATCATTGCTAACTGAATTTGAAGGGTGCTTGTGGGTGCATGACATGCTTCGAGAAATGGGTAAGAAAATTGTGTTTCTTGAATCACCAAATGATGCAGGCAAGCGTAGTAGGATATGGTCCTTGGAGGATGCTAATCATGTGTTAGGGAATAAGAGGGTAACATTCCGCCACTTTTATTGTGCTCTATTGATTCAATAATTTATTTTATGCATTTTATATGCAATAAGTTTGATTTATTATTTTATATATAGGGGACTGAAGCAATCTATGGCATAGTGGTAAGATTTGACAAACCATATGCAATGCATTTCAACCCTGAAGCCTTTTCAAGTATGAGTAATCTCAAGTTACTTATGATATCAAGTCATTCACATTCACGCATGCAATTGAATCTCCTTCGTGGACTTAATTGCCTTTCAACCACATTGAAAGTCATAGAATGGGAGGGGTATCCTTTAGATTTCTTGCCAAGTCAGACTCAACTGAATGAACTTGTTGATCTTAGAATGCAACACAGCAAATTGAAAGAACTTTGGACGGGAACTCAGGTAATTAATAAGGTCCCTGGCTTAATTTTTTTAGGTCTATGATTTGATGCACGTATTACTGGCTAGCTCGTTGTTAACTTTTGAAGGCTTTTGTTTGTTTATTTATTTTTTGGTTTTTTTTTTTCAGTTTCTACAAAGTTTGAAGTTCATTGATTTGAGTCATTCAACAAATCTTATCAGAACACCAAATTTTGATGGAACTCCTAATCTTCAAAGATTGATTCTTGAAGGGTGTACAAAGCTTGTTGAAGTTCACTACTCTCTAGGGCAACACAAGAAACTTGTCATTGTTGATTTTAAAGGTTGCAAAAGTATTAAAACCCTTCCAACCAAAATCGAGATGAATTGCTTAGAGTTGTTTATTCTCTCTGGTTGTTCAAAAATTAAGAAACTTCCTGAGTTTGGTAAAGGTATGGAACATTTATCGTTGCTTGATTTAGAGGAGACTGCTATATCAAAACTGCCTCAATCATTCGTCAATTTGATTGGTCTTGCAATATTAAATTTAGCGAATTGCAAAAATCTGGTTTGCCTTCCAAGTGATTTTCAAAAATTGAAAGCTATAAAGAACATCAATATTTCTGGTTGTCCAAAGTTTTCAAGGCTTCCAGAAAATTTGAACGAAAATGAGGCATTGGAAGACCTTGATGTGAGTGGAACTGCTCTAAAAGAAGTGCCTTCATCCCTCCGTAATCTAAGAGTATTGTCTCTTAGCCGATGCAGTGGTTATTCACAATCATCATCATCATCATCATCATGGGATCTCTACTCCCTTCCCAAGCGGGCATTTAGGCTTCAAAGGCCTTCAACAATGTTTTCAGGGTCTCCTTTTTCAAACCTATCATCTTTGGTCACGTTACATTTAAGTTATTGCAATCTTCATGATGAATCACTATCCAATGAAATCAGCAGTTTATCTTCATTGACGGCATTAGATCTGAGTGGAAACAACTTTGTTGAATTTCCTTCCGGCCTCATTTCCAAACTTCGAAAACTTGAATCTATTGGTTTAAATAATTGCCCAAGGCTCCAGTCTTTGCCTCAACTTCCAAAAAACCTGTCGATTATACAAGCTGGTGATTGTCCATCATTGAAACATTATGCATGTTCACAACAATTATGGGAATTCATTGAGCACTTCGAATCTCAGGTTTATTTTAATTCTCTTCACTATTATTTCTTTCATTTTAGTCATTATAATTCTATATCATGTCAATTTTTTTGTTATAGACTCGACTACGCCGAAGTGAAATCTCAGGTCATGACTGGAAATGTCACTTTTTAAGCGACTATGTGTCTGCCATTGTAACTTGGGATTCAGAATTTGTGAGTTATTTGAATCTATTAAATTTCTGTTTTATTTGCTCTTCTTATTTTACTATCCCTTACACCTGACATCTAACATGAATAATATTTCATCACAGTCTGACTTCTTTATGCAACCTACTCGCTTATTAACTATTCCTGGTAATGAAGTGCCATCATGGTTTCACAATCAAAGCTATTATTGTGCGAAAGATTTCCCTTATGAGTATACTCCAACAAATGTGTCATTCACAATAGAACTGCCTGATTCATGCCGATCAAGTGAATGGTGGGGCATAGCCGTATGCTTAGTGCTAGAACATGATTTGGAAGCTGCAGAATTTGATGATGCTGGCGTCCTTTGTTGGACTTATAGAGTTTCTGAAGATGAATATTCAAATTCATTTCGTTGTTGTAGCATTTGTGTGCAGTCTAGTTGTCGTCATCAACGATGTATCATCTACATTCGTTCTTCCTCATTTGTTGTGGAACAACCACTTCAAATGGTATTTTTCATTTACAACAAAGGTGAACAGAAGAAGTCAATTTTTAAAATAGAACAGTGTGGGTGGCGTGTATTGTGTAAAGAAGACGTTGAAAGGTGGCGAAACACGAGAGATGAAGGATACAGCAGTACAAATAATGATCAGTTCATTGTTGAAGAAGATGAGTCTATCACCAGTGCAGAGCCTATAGCTAGCCGATCAGACCAGAGGGAGTTGAGATTGTGCCTCAATATCCTATGGCCCATTATGCTTTTTTTATTTATTATGTTTATCTCTATTGTATTTATAATTGAGATTATAGGATATATTATTTATCGGCCAAGTTATTTTTTCTAGGTCTTTTTAGAAACTCTATATATATATATATATATATATATATATCAAGCCTTTCTGTCCTTATACAAATCAGATTCAGATGATTATTATAAACTCTATTTTTTATTGTGAATTTCTTGTTGTTTGTGAGATTTTTTAATCCTTCATATTAGGGTTTGCCCCGTTAAATTTTGTGTTCTATTATTTCTAGATCTTTGTCCAAATTTGAAAAAACATAATTAACTCTAGAAACATTGTATGAGTGTGCTCTAAAATATGTTTTTTTGGACTGAATCTATGTCATGAATTTAAAGATTCATAACTCATGTTATTTTATATCCAATTGATCTAATTTAGGACTTGTTAGAACCCTCTATGTGTCTACTTTTCACATGCCTATGAGCACTGGATATATATCTTTCACCATATATTATACAATCAAATAGTGATTATACTCTGAAGAGAGCACAAACTGGGCAATAAAAAACATGCATGATAAATTCATAATTTCAAGGCTATTCTATGACTTCCAATTTGCTTTAGCTTTTCCTTTGGAAGCTTGTAAACTAGCATATTTAGTCGATGGTGTGAGATTCAAGTAAATCCTAGTAGCAAACAATCAGCATTCAAGCAATCAAGTTATGCTTCCATCATTGACTCAATAACAATAGCACTACGAAAGGACACAATCAAGAACATGTTCATATAAGCATAGAATTGTCAACCACGGTCATGACATAATTCAAGAAAATAATTTCACATGTCCAACATAAAATAATTATTCAACTCATGGAAATCTGAGAAGCATATAATAATAACATAATTACAACTTAAATACAAAACATGTGAAGCTGATACTTTTAAGCTTTACAAACTTCCTTTTGCCTTCCTTTCTTTCGCTCTTTGAGATTACTTGACCAAACCTTCAATTCCTCTTCCTTTATATCTCATGACCTTAAAGACCCAACATACACCATTTATTTTGTTAATTAGAGCCACTGAACATGCTAAGACTCTTAGCTTCTCAAGCTTGTTCTTTTTTACCTAAATTTTCACTCTCTTTTCCTTGACTTCCTAAGGTTATTCTCTTGGTCTTTCTCCCATTCCATTTTTTTATGAGAAATTCATATGTGAAATCAAATTTACCAACTTCTCGAAGCTGCCGCACGAAAATACTTGACTTAGACATAGCCTGTTTATGTTCCAATATTGGTCATTAGGCTTTAATCAGCTTGTTTTTCTATGATTTTTCCACAGTTTAAGGCTTGATTCAAAACCATATTCCCATGACTAATCCATTAACTAATCAATTATTAATTTTATAAAAAATTGGGCATCTCCCGTTGGAAAAGTAGCTTCCCAAAATTGCAAAAACTTTTGAAAATCAAGTATCTTCCAAAAACAATATTAAATCAAGCTTTTAAGACCATAAATAAAATCCATCAAAATTATATTTCTTAAACCATGTACAAATCCGGAGAGGGCCATCGTCAATCTATAATTCCATCCCAAGTTGGCAATTTTGGCTTCAACCAATCAAATCTTGCCAAAATTGTTAATTCTAATCGTTAGCCTTACATTTCAAGATTAAGTCCTGACCATCCATTTTAATCTTCCATTCTTGCCCATGAGATCAATTTGACTCTCCCACTTGTGGCCTTGGATGTGATGCTGTTTCCTAATCTTGTCATTATTTATCCCCTTTAACCATGATTACTTTTTGCTAACTATAGTTACTTTTCTTTAACCATAATTACCTTTGCTAACTATAATTAATTTTAACAATGATTATTTCTCTCCAATCATGGTTAGTTTTAATAATATTATTTACATTTCATATTGGTTATCTTAATTTTAAGTACCTTACTGAGATTAATCTTCTTTTACCATGGTAAATTTTCTAATTACCATAATTAATTCCATAACCATAATATTTATCTTAATTTTAATTACCTTACTGAGATTAATCTTCTTTTACCATGGTAAATTTTCTAATTACCATAATTAATTCCATAATCATAAATACTTTAATTTTGAATTATGATAATTTCTCTTTACTTCTTATGGATAACATCATTTTGGGCCTTACTGCTCCTACAATTATGTTGTCAATTTAATTTAGGCTTACTTCCTGAGGCATTTTCATCTTAAATACCTCAAATAGACATTAAAATCCATTAAAAACCTTTTTCCTATTTTTCCTGAATTTTCGTAATTTTTCTTTATTTTTTTGATTAAATTTGTTACAATTACACTTAATGGATTGAAACTTTCAAAAATTATTAACATAACTTGCCATTCATATAATGTTGTTAAACATATCCTGAGTCTTAAAATAACTTATAAGTTCTTTCTAGCTACTTTCTAGCCTAAAAATATTCTTTGTATCAGCAACCAGTTTTGGGTATTAGCCTTTACTTTCATGATATTTATTTACACTTAATACCCTAAATTTTCAATTATTATTATTTGGTTCCTATACACTTTTCATCTTTTCTTTCCTAACTTGTACCTTTCTTCCTTTACAATTAATAACTCCATGCTCTCTTTATATAAGCACTTAGAACTTTTCGGAGCTTCTAAAAATACTTATGCTTTAGCTCTTGAAAAACTTTTAATTTAAGCAGGAGTCTTTGAGAGGTAAGAACCACTCTATCTTTTCAGGATATTGGTAGGATCTTTCTCAACTAGGCTTTATAGTATTCTTATCTAAAATGTATTCCTGAACTTCTAAACCTAAAATCTAGGATATGACACTAATGCCATTACAAAAAGATTAGCGATGAAAATATTTTGCACTAATATGTTGCTAAATGATTTGTGACAGAATTAGTGATTGACCTTTTTTCATGGCAACTAAATCGGTAATTTAAAATTTTATTTTTTAATTATAATCCTACAATAATATATATAATGACATGATTAATAATAAAATCATTTAAATACATTTTCAATTACAAAATAAATTAATAAATTTACAAGGTTGGTGGCACAATATCAAATAGGGTATCATCATTAATGTTAGCATCAGGTTCTTAAAGAGATAGAAAGAAGAATTCTCAGAAAACTCATTTTACGCTGAGTTAATCAATTCCTCTCTTGAGAAATTTAATATAACAAAGAAATAGTTGCGTCATCCATCTATATAATATTTTAAAAGGTGTAACACAATGTAGAAACAATCGACAAATGAACTTGTCCGCGTACACCTCTATTTATCATTATTTGCAAAGCCAATGTTGGAAGGAAATTGGATTTTATTATATGGATGTGACACCTCACTCTAACATATACTAAAAGGGTTAATATAATGACTGTAAACCACTAATATCAGGTTGCTGGCCTGGAAAAAACTGAGCAAATTTTTTTTTTTTTTTCAAAATGGCTCTTCAAAACTCATACTTTTAAAAATTAATTCCAATGAAATAACAAAAATTAAAATATGACACTGCTAATTTTACAGCCATGGCCAGGACACACACATAAACAATTATATACATAATCGCACTAATTGATTTTATTTTATTTTCAAGCTATCCTAATCTCTAAGATTCCCCAAGTCATCTAATAGCTTAATCCCTCTTGCAAAATAATTCCATGAGCTCTCTTAGCTTTAATTCACAATTAACTTAATGTTTATCATTTAATCCAAACCAAGCAAATTTCAATTTCTAACTATCATTAACCTTCTTAAACTTTGGTCTAGTATTCCACAAACAACCCTTCTAATAAATTTTTATTCATTACAAATTTCATCCCATACCTTTGAAATAATTTTCGAATACCATAAGTATTAGCTTATCCTTTTAAAATCTCCACCCACCACAAGCAAACCTCAAGCAATAATTTTCAAATCAATTTCCTAGTTTAAATTCTTTGATTCCCAAAACAGCCGCCAACTTTAATTCTAATCTCAATCATTAAATCTCTAAAACTTCTCATTCTTTTCATTCTATAACTATCAGTCTATTCCTTACTTTTTTCTTAATCATTTTCCCATTACTTTTTTAACAATACCTCCAAAATATTTTTGAGCTGTCACTTTGACATTTCAATCAATCTTATCGTTAATTCAAAACCCCAAACATCAACATGTGTATCAATTCTTAACTTCTTTTGTTTCCTATATCCTTCGACCAAACACTTTGAATATCCATTGAGATTATATTTCAATTAAGCAATTACCCTTCCATAACTTCTGAAAGTCTCCAACAACCTAAAAGGATTCCTTTTAGTGCATTAATTACGGCATCGAGCATCCCACAAGCATTTCCTACCCTTAATCCATCAAGATATCCTTTTTCTCTCACTTTCTCTCACTAAAATCAGGTTTCTTTCTCTGCAATCACCCCCCAAAAACAGCACCAAATGAAGAAAATGAAAATCGGAAGGAACTCATGAGGCTCACCTTAGTCAGAATCCAAGATTGCATACAAGTTTCAGGCTTCCGATCGCTACCTTCTTCTTCTCCGCTTCTTCTCGGTTCCTCTCCCTTTCTTCCTCCGGTTTTCGTCGCAAAACGAAGACAGAAGGAGATGCTAGTATCCTTGAAATTACCATTATGCCCTTCAACAAGTTTTGTCTTCCTTTTCATTCTTTTTCTATTTTTCTGTAATTGTAAAATAAAATCAGAAATTATTCTACAATTTTTTATATGGATTTTTTATCCAATAGCTTCTTTACTCTTAAAATAATTTTCATAAAAATTCTTGGTCAAAAATCAATTCCCGATTATTTTTTTGAAATTTTCTAGAAAAATAGCACTTAATTTCAGAAGTTAATTCTTAACTTGTTTTAAAAATTTTATGTCTTAATTAGCTTATCTACATCATAAAATAGTTATCCTAAAATTTTTAACTCAAATATAAATCCCTAACTATTTTTCTTTAAATTTTCTGGAAAAAATAGACCCTTTTTGCTCTAAAAGATAACTTTAAAATTATTTAAGTCACTTTTGGGGAATAAAATTTTTTAGTAAAGTTTATAAATCCTCAAAATTAATATTTCAAAATTTTTCCCATTTTTATTTAGACTTTAAATAGTTTTAATAAATTTTTTTTCTGTCTACTCTTCCTAAATCAGAAAATTAGGGTACAATAGAATAATTAGATTTTGTAACAGATAATCTTTTGGATAATTATATTTTTACTAATTATATCATGATAGAATGACTTGGTCAAAAATATAATTAATTTGATCTTAAAATCTACTTCAATAATTAGAGGGATATTGTATTCCAATCCAATCTATAATGTAGTTGATCAAAAATTATATAATTATAAATTTGAAATAAAAATTTTTTTATTTCCCTTTAAAACAATCTTATTTTCACTTATTCAAATAACCTAAATCTCTGTTGAATCTAACATCAACATGGATATCTAGGAATATGATGAATGTTTCTATTCTAATATATAAAAAAACAACTATAATATAATATTACATTACATGTGCATGGGTGCCTGTGTGTATATTTATAAATTATACATTATTGTTATTGAAAACATAAAAATAAAATTTTAAAAGTGGCAAAAAAACCAGGCTTAAAATTTAAAACAGATTTTATTTGTAATCCATTTTATATTAAAAATAATAATTTAAAAATGAAAATTATAGCATAAATGTTAATATAATATATGTGAATTTTTAATAATATTATATATTTAAAAATACCAATGTTATAAATACAAATAAAAACATATGTTATAAATATTATAGTATCAAATATATTTTAAAAAACAATATAGATTATAAATAAGTATTTTAATATACTAAAAATTAAACAGAAATATTAAATAATAGTATTAATACTTAAAAATATTTAATATGCAACGTATAAGCAAGTAACTAAATCATATATCAAACCATATATATTTATGTGTGTGTTTGTGAAGGGAAATAGTATTATATATTTAATTTTGCATCTAAAAGTGTCGGTCCATTTCTTTTTTTTTTTTTTGAGCTTAAAATAAAATGATATTAAAATGAAGCAAAGTTTACAGAGTACATATTGTAGGTAAACCAATAGAAAGCAAATTAAAATGAAAGAAACCATCTCTAGAAATAACATTAAACTTTGGGAATGGTTTAGCATGAGGATTCAAGATGGTGCACTATTTTATCTAGAATAAAAATGCCCTGAGATATTTGGAAAGAAATATTTAACGTTCACTTCGAGGGTAGAGGTTGTTTTTTCCTTCAAGATTTACATGATATATTTAATGATTACAAAGTTTATGAGTTTTTTAACAGCCATTTAAATTTAATTTATTTGTGTTCGAATGAATATATGGCTATGAAATCCACCGGTGGATTTCTAGCGTCAATATTATTAAATATTTCGGGGTGTACTTTTATTGGCTAAATTGTACTTCTCTGATCCTAGAAACCTATTTTATAGTGTAATTTATACTATAAAATGGGTTTTATATTTAGGATGAGAGGAGTATCAATTATGCACATGATCCACTTCCTCTCCTTAAACGCATGATATATATCACCTGTTTGCTTTCAACTCTATTTTCTTTGCGTAGAGAGTCGTTTTTGTGTCTTGAGAAGAACCAAATTGCATGCCAGAGGCCAATGTGAGATTCTTTATGCGCTTTTACTGATGTCAAGTAAAAAGAAAATGAGAACTTAAAGAGTATATATCCAAATTTCGAATCATATATCAAAATACATAAACAAAGACATGCCACCTGCAAATATTAGTACATAGAAATCTTAAAGATAGAGAGGATATTAAAATTCATTTGACATGCTAGTTTCAGACACTATTTGTGCCTTTTATTTTTGAAGCATAGCACTGAAGTTCACATTAATTTTGTTTGGGAACCCACATAACTGTGTTTTGATAAAGGAAGTGGCACACAGGAACACTCCCTGGCTTCACTTTTAACAACTGGAAGGCCAAATGATTTGAGTCCCAATGTGATGTGTCTCTGTGACAAACACTCAAAGCTTCCATTCTGCTCCCGTCAGCACCCTCCAGCGGCACCGCATAGGCAACTGTGTTCTCTATTTTGTGACAGTAAAACACAGCATACGCGTAATTGAGCTTATGACACACCACCTGTGTCTCCGCCACCTTCTTCACTCTATGCATTATTGTGTATTCTTCTAATTCCTTTGTTTGATTCATGGTTCCTGTAGACAAAGCATTCACACTATTCCCAAGCTTTAGAGTCACAAAATCAACCATGGATTCTAACGATGTCGCACAATACTTCTCTTCCCCTTTCATTCCTGGCTCTTCACAAACTTCCATAGTAATCTCCATAAATTCGGCAGCCACCGAGCCAGGTTTAACGGCAAACTTGTTCAATATTTCAGTCATCTGTTAGTATACGTAAAGAACCACAAATCAAAAGAATTATATTAGATAACATGTATGATTTGGTTACATGCATATCTCTTCTCAGCATAATGAATCTGACATTATTAATATACCTTGCTTGAGGAAAAGGGAATGGACTTTACAACTTGACGAGGCAGGAAGGAGGCATGGTTGGAGGTGTGCACGAAGAGCAAGTTCATTTTATGACCGGCCTTCAAGTCCTTTTCCAAAAAGAAGAGACTCTCATTGGAGTTGTTGTAATGGAGTTGGGTCTTGCGTTGCAGAAGTTGGAAGATGCGGTTGCCATATAAAATCCGTGGATAAACGATCAAAAGTTTATCGATGCCTTTTAACCCAACAATGACTAGCATGGAGGTGCTAAAACCTGAGTTGCCAATATGGACCAAAACAATCAACGAAATGTGAATTTTGAAACTCAAAAAAGTAACCCATGAACTATGCTAACCAGTTGGGTGGAGGAGATCTTTGAGGGGTTCAGGCATGAGAGTATTAGGAAGCTTGGACTTCCAGTACATTTCAGGAGATAAGATCGCATGTGTTGCCGCCAACACAATCTGCAATTTCGCATATTGTGTATGTGTATGGAGTCATATAGAGACACACATTCATCAGCTTAGCTCTTTATTTGGGGGGCAAAAGTGAAAACAAGAAAGGGAATCGAAGCTTACAGTCAGAAAAACAATGATGGAAAGGAGTGGAAACTTCATTATTGGAGAGACAAGTTGCTGAAGTTTGCAAAGAAATGACCCGATGATGATAAACGAGAACCCGAGGGGAATTATATGGACACGGAGAGGGTCCCATATTGGATTCTTCTTGTGACATATGGGACCATTTGGATCCTTTATAGATTTCATTATCCCAGAGAGGAATTATATGGACACGGAGAGGGTCCCATATTGGATTCTTGTTGTGACATATGGGACCATTTTTATCCTTTTAGATTTCATTATTCCACAGCTTAGACCATGCTCCTCCAATCTTTAATGCAAGACTTAATTAACTGATTTGAGTAGATTAAAAATGTTAGTTAAAGTAGTTAGTATAATATGTTTTCTTCCTAAAATATCCTAATCATCTTCTTTAATTCCTTCTCTTCCTCTCATACCTAATTATTATTGAAAGAATATCAATAGGATTAATTTGAAAAAAAATTAATAAACATGTGAAATAAGTCTTGCATATAGGACCAATATCAATTCTCAAAGTAGGTCCAGTTAGCAAAACAACACATATATATTATTTAATCAATCCAAATTATATACATGTATATGATACTCAAAAGAGTTCAGTGTAAGACTTATAAATACCTCTCGCCATTAGTTCTGTTGATTTGATGTAGAACTTGATCTGAATGATAAGGAGCTGTGAATCCAAGAACACTGTTAGAGAAAACAATACGGGGAATGTTCCAGTTGGTGATTGGGCACAATGATGGTGACTGGAATGTAGTCGTCACCAGTGGGGAACCCTCAGAGAGTGAGTAGAGAAGAGAATTAGAGTTTCACTCTAGATTCAATATACTGTATGTTATTTTTCACCATTAGAAAATTAACTTTAATTAACTGAGTCAATTATCCACCTTAGAGTGGGCCCAAAATGACTATGGGCCACACTCAGGATATTTATTAATTATCCTAATAATATCTAAATAATCATAATATTATAAAAATATCATTTTCGCCTAGGCCCATATACTCAATATCATTGCCATGTCAAGGTTAACTAAGGTCATGCTACAAGAATTATGACGATAAGTCCTCTTTTATTGAGTATTACCTTCCATGCATTACAAGTAGCATCAATACTTAATGGGTATCGCTTTATAAATAAACTCAATGTTTATTCAGTTCTTGTCTCAATGTTTATCAATTTCAATATCACAAATGTATACAATCATAAATTAGAAATGATAAACGTAACTGTAAATTTGATTTCATTTCTCATACCTCAACTAATCAAATAAAGGACAAAGTCCCATGTGAGGTACATGTGAACAAAAATGTTTGCTTTCAACCCTTTTATCAAAGGATCAGCTAGCATATCATTTGTACTAATGCATTTAACTGAAACTTGGCCATCTTGAACTCTTTCTCTTAGCTGTGTTATTTGACAAATTTAAGTTTGACAAATTTGCTTCGACTTTTATTCCTTTTGTTATTTGCTATGGCCACCACAGCTGCGTTATCACAATACATTTTGATTGGCCTAGAGATTGAGTCTATAATCTTGAGCCTAGCAATGAAATTCTTTATTTAGATTACTTGTGAACTTGCCTTAAAACATGTAATGTACTCAGTATTACCAGCAGAAAGAGTTGTTTGATTTGCTTTGCACTTTTCTATGATATAGCTCCTTCTGCTAATAGAAAGAGGTAACCGGTTATAGATTCATTTGTATCTACACATCCTCCAAGATCTAAATCTGAGTATCCAATTACTTCCAAATTTTCTGTTCTTCTCCACATGAGCATGTAGTGTGTAGTACCTTGTAGGTACCTGAACACCTTCTTTGCAACTGTCCAATATGCTTCCCTAGGATCACTTTGATATCTCCTAAACATACCCACAGCAAAAGTGATGTTAGGTCTTGTACAAACCTGTGCATATATCAAGCTTCCTACCGCTAAGGCATATGGGACCCTTTCTATCTGTTTTCTTTTAAGCTCGGTTCTATGACATTGATTTGAACTAAATTTATCTCCATTTTCAATAGGAGCTATGTCAGATGAACAGTTTTTTATTTTGAATCATTCAAGAATCTTGCCAATATAAGCTTTTTGAGGCAAGCCTACAAGACATTGGGTTCTATCCCTATGGATCTTTATGCCAATAACATAAGATGCCTCACCTATATCTTGCATGTCAAAACTCTTGAATAGAAACTATTTCACCTCACACAATAGTCCCAGATCATTCGTAGCAAGCAAAATGTCATCCATATGCAAAATCAAGAATATGATCTTACTCCTACTAGCCTTGTGGTATATAGAGTCATCCATGATGTTCTCAACAAAACCAAATGATGTGATCACTTCATGGAACTTTAAGTACCATTGTCGTGAAGCCTGTTTCAAACCATATATTGACTTCTTTAGCTTGCATACTAATTGCTCTTTACCTTCTGTAATGAATCCCTCAAGTTATTTCATATGGACTTCTTCCTCTAGTTCACCATTGAGGAATGCAGTCTTCACATCCATTTGGTGCAACTCTATATCAAAATGCACAACCAATGCCATGATGATGTAGAATGAATCTTTCTTGGATACAGGTGAAAATGTTTCCCTATAGTTGATTCCTTCCACTTGTGTGAAACCCTTAGCAACCAACCTAGCCTTCTATCTATCAATGTTACATTGTGAGTCCCTTTTGGTTTTGTAAACCCATTTACAACTAATGGCCTTAGACCCACTAGGCAACTCTACAAGTTTTCAAATATGGTTGTTTGCTATGGAATTCATTTCATCAATCATAGCATCATGCCACAATTTAGAGTTTGCACTTTTCATGGCTGAGTAAACGTTAATGGATCATTTTCAACACTTACATTACAGTTAACTTTAGCAAAGTACACTATGTAGGCCTTAGGTAATGCCGGCCTTCTTTCTCTAGTTGATCTCCTTAATTCAACCTCTTGGGTTGATTCAGATTGCTGATTAGGAACATCCTCTATCACATTTTGTGGTAGTTCCACTTGTGTGACAATTTGATCAGCTTGTATGTGTTCCTCTTGTGTAGTATTGTCAACTTGAGCTATAGGATTCACATCATGTTCAATGTCAACTCCAACAGCGGGAGAGTAACTATTGATGCTCCCTCATAATTAGTGTTAGTGGTTTGCTCTATGTGATTATCTTGTGAACAATCACTCCTACTAATCACATCATTCTCAAGAAATTTGGCATTCTTAGATTTTACAAATCTTTTAGAAGGTGGAGGATAATAAAATTTATAATCCTTTGACCTTTCTGCATAGCCTACAAAGTAAGCTCTAATAGCCTTAGAGTCTAGTTTTGTTTCTTGTGGATTGTACACTCTTTAGTAGGACAACCCTATACCTTGAAATGAATTAAACTGGGTTTCCAACCTTTCCAGATTTCAAAGGGTGTTTTGGACATTACCCTTGTTGGAACCCTGTTTAATATGTATGTGGGTGTCTTGATTGCTTTCTTCCACAAGGAAGTTGGAAGTTTAGAGCTACTCAACATGCTCCTAAGCATATCTAATATGGTCATATTTCTTTTTTCAGCTACACCATTCATATCAAGTGAGCCAGGGATGGTATATTGGGCTACTATACCTTGCTCTCAAAGAAAATCAGCAAATGGACCAGGTGCTTGTCCTTCACTAGTGTAACTGTCATAATACTCACCACCTCGATCAGATCTCACAATTTTGATTGGTTTTCCAATCTGTTTTCTACCTCTGCTTTATATTCCTTAAAAGCATCTAGCGCCTCACTTTTATTATAAAGAATATAGGCATACATGTATCATGAGTAATTTATCACCTTTGACCATGCACAATCAAATCAAGACAACAAATATCTGTGTGTATAATTTCCTAGCAATTTAGAACTTCTCTTAGCCCCTCTATGTGACTTGGTCTACTTTCCTCTTATGCAGTTCACATAATAATCAAATTTTGAATAGTCTAAACATGAGAGAATTCCATCTTTACTTAACCTTTTGATTCTTTTAATGGAGATATGTCCCAATCTCCTATGCCACAGGCTAACACAATTCTCATCAATGACACTTTTTTTAGTACCATGCATAACGAAAAGGATTGTGGCAAATCAAAAATAACTTTAAATAAACCATTAATCATAACTAAGTTCGCAGTCAAAACAGAGTCTTTTAACAATGTCATAAATTTCTTAGAAAGAACTAAATGGTAATCAAATAGAATCAGTTTTGACATAGAAATCAAATTCCTCTTGTAACCAGGAACATAAAAAACTTCATAAAGGTCCAAAACATGATTATTCAAAAAAGTTATGCTAAAAGTTCCAACAACTTTCATAGGATCTCCTTTCCAACTTCTAGAAAGGATGATTTCCTCATTAGGATGTGGAGGCCTGCTTGTTAGAAATCTTTGCATGGGAGTCAAAATGTGGATCATTGAATTAGTGTCAATCCATCAAGTGTCATCATTAAAGCTAGAAAAATTAGATTCAAAGTAACATACGAGGTAAACATACTTCTCTTTTCTAGTCATGCCTTCCTCTTGAGACACTCATCCCTCATGTGTCCCTTTTTCTTATAGAAGAAGCATCTGGCATTCCTTTTGTAGACAGCTAAAACAGCAGGGATTTTCTCCTTTTTCTTTTTCTCCCTCTTTTCTTTCTTTCCCCTTTTGCTGCTAGCCTTGGAACTTTATGCTAAATAAGCCTCCTTTTGTGCACCTTCCTACTAATTAGCAATCTAGTCTCTTCTTGAACACTCATGGATAGCAATTCATCCATTGACCATTTCTCCTTATGTGTATTGTACGAGACCTTGAAAGCATCATATTGAGCAGGAAGTGAGTATTGCACTAGGAACTGCTCAATAGGTTCCATTTCAAAGGATTTCAGCTGAGAGGCTAGGTCTCTCATTTTCATTATATGTTGCATCACACCACCAATACCTGTAAGCCTCATAACACATAATTTAGCCATGATGGCACCACCCATCTGTTTGTTTGTCGGCTTGAACTGCTTATGCAAAGCTTCCAGGTATCCTTTGGCCGTCTTACATTT